TGGTCCCACACTATGGGGCCATGTCTACATGGCTTCCTGACTTCAGTGAAGCACAGCACCCAGCTCCCTGCCCACGACACCCCAGATTAGATATAGCAGCTGCCTGTAGTGCAGTGCTGGACACGTACCTGTCAAAATGTGCTTATTGGTGCATGCCCAGTCCGGCATTAACGGTGGCTGCATTACATCCCTGAGCACAGCCAGGAAGCAGTGTAGACAGGCCTGAGAGATGAAGGCATTCCTCTGGGAGGGCAAAAGGAGGATTGTCCTTTTGTTCCAGCACAGAAAGGCAGGGCTTGCCAAGCAGTGAGAAGCAACTGCCTGGAAATGAGGATGCTCAGTCCCTGGCCCTAAGAGTTTCACTTTGTGTTTGTTCCCTATCCTCCTCTTCTGCCCTGAACAGGGTCTAGCCCCCAGGAGACATTCAGTCTATGAATGCCATGCCTGGGGCTCTGCTGGTGGAGGCCCTTATCACTCCATAGCCTGCAGTGGACTAGTTTGATTTGATTTGTGGTATAAAACAGGCTGTGTCTATGTAACATCCTCTACTGGTCCTCCAGCACCAAAGCAAGCACTTCTATTTCTTCACCAGAAGAAGTCATTCCATTGTCCTGCAGCGGTAGTAAGCTATTATTCCATGGGACCAAGCCACCAGAAGGGACCAAAGCATGCACCGCATGAGCTCATGCCTGCAGCTGAACGGCTCCTTACTAATCAGCGGCTGTTGAGTTTTGCAGCTTGTCTCCAATCTGAATTGCCCTCTCGTTCCCAGTGCAATATGAAAGCGTTCCCTAAAAACAGGATCTTTGTTCCTTAAAAGCACGCATGCTATTTTCTCCTCTCCATATGGAGTCCTAAGAACCCTTTGTTGGTTAAATTACAATCAATCGCACAGCAACTGGCTGCGATACTATCAACCAAGGATAAGGGCTCCTGGGGCCAGTCTGAACGGCTAGGAAAAGTTCTATTTCTGTCCAAATGCCCTAGAAGAAAGAAAGATTGTTTCTAGAAAATACTGGGCCAGATTCTCAGGTGGTGAAAATTTGCGGCACGGACTGTCTTTTTGTCCTGGGCCTGTACAGGACCTAACCCTGTGGGGGCCTGGTTTGGCCAGAATGCAATTAGACCACAGTAATAATAAATAATCAGGGAGCTCCATGGTAGCCGATGGATCGATGCTGATTTTCACCACCTGAGCACCTGGCCCCATACTGTATTTAACATATTCTGTCCTAGATGGCTTTGTCATGTGAGCACCTACCTCATAATCATGAATATATCAGTACCACAGCTCGGTGACATGGGGGAATATCACATTGCAAGTTCTTTTGGGCTGAGTCTGTTTTGCATCTGTAAAGGACCTGGCACAGTGGGATCTCGGTCCCTGACTGGGGCTTTTATAGGTTACTGCAATATAATCATAATCATAATAATAATACTATTGTCCTCGTTTATTAGATAGGGAATGTGAGATACAATGAGACTGAGTGACCCCTGAGACAAGGTCACCATCCATCTCCACAATGAGATATAGGTTATGGCTTTAGTGCTCCACTTTGATAACCTAGCTCTGCCAGTGCATGGCAGGAAGGGAGGGGGAGGGCAGATTTGCAAGAAGGCTGCATCTTACAGACAGTTTTCCAGTGTCCTAGATTTGTTCAAGCTCCCCGTACATGTTTATAGCCCAAACTCTGACCATACATTTTACAGGATGTGGGGACAGCATGTGACTGTGCAGCTTCTGGTAAAGCACATGGGCCAGAATCTGACCCCACTTGCGCAAGGCATTCATCAGAGTAACTTGGGTAAGTTTGTCCCTGATGGGTATCACCACCATGGACTCTGTGCTGAATCTTAACATGAAATGAAGTGTCCTTCCTTATTTGGGATGCAGACACTAGTGCAGACACACTTGCCTCTGAGATACGTATGCAAGCTGCAGACGATGTTGCAAACTAATGGCCAAGCTTCATTATAAACTTCTTGGGTCAGATCCCACAGTCTAAGGTAAAACACCCGTTAGGGACTGGCCCCTTGGCTCACAACAGAGGGCCCAGCCAGCTAGACTGGCCCAATGGTTCCAGCATGACACCAGGATTTGAGAGACTCGGCGCCAAGTTCCTGTTTGGCCACAGCCCATAGTGTGACCTTAGGCAAATCATTGCTTCTCTGAGTTTCACGTTTGTCTCTATCCTGCCTCATGGGGGTGGATGAAGCACACAAGGAGGAGCTGCAACCACTTTAGCTAGCTGCAGCCCAGATGATACCAACTGCTTTACATGTATTTCTGCAACAAACAGCCATGACCTAACCTGTCCAATGAGAAATCTCTTCCTAATTGCCGTCAGCCAAGGGTTGGTTTATGCATCCAGCCCTTGAAAAGCACTTTTCATCTGTAGATCTCAAATTACCTTATAGAGATGATAGGTATCAATTGCTCCATAATACGGACGGGAAAGCAGGCAGAGAGAGGTGACATGACTTGCCTGTAGTCACCCATCTGGCTAGGACTGGAACTGGGGGTCTCCTGGATGCTAATCGGGTGCTCTGTCCACTGAGCTACACTGCCTTTCCTCAAATTTTACCCTGCCAATGTAATGGAGGTAATTCTTATTGGCTATATAACATCCTAGTGAGTTCTTGGCCTTTATGACATCTCGTGGCCATGAATCCCACCTGGTCACTGCTGCCTAGATCGCTGTGCAGTTGTCTGCTGAATAATGCTTGCCACAGGCTATCCATTTAACTACTCAGCAGAGAACATGGTCCTATTCCTGAGCCTGCCGCTGGCTGACCAGGTGTCCATGGAGAAACCACGACCCTTCTCCTTGGATCAGCTTCCCCATCTATAAGATGGGGACATTGATCCCGAGTCTCCCTTGATGATGAAGACTGCTACAGAAGAGCTAGGCATTACTATTAAAACTTCCATGGACTGCATGATCCAATCTGTTATGCTAGACTAGTGTAACTTCGGCATGACTTGCCTCGCTTGGCTGGAGCTGCTCCAACAGCACTGCAGTGCAGACCGAGCTCAGACTACACCTCATCACCAGAAGCTGAGGGAAGAACCACTCTGCTGCACTTCACAGCCCTTACCTGCTCCCGAGGGGATGTTTTGTTGCATAAGCCTTGGCAGCCACTTGCACAGAAGCACCTGCACTTTCCCCACAGGGATCCCATGATGCCAACTAGTTGCGGGATGTGCCTGCCATTTGCAGCCGCTTCTCACCTGCTTAATGACTGTTGCCTTAGCCTTTGATCCAAAAGGCAAGCTGTGCAGAAGCCTCTCTCTTTCTTATACGCAGGCTGAATTCAATATGATTTGCTTTGACCTTCAATGTCCTGTCTTCCAGGAACTGCAGGTTCCTGTATTGATGGTGAGACATTGGCAGGTGATTTCAGCAAATGGCTACAAGTTATGTGGGGCCTTTAGCTCCTTGGAAGGCAGGCTGGGAGCATGGGGTATCTTGCGCTGCCTCCTTGGTTCTGCTAAATCTGCGAGGAAAGAACTTAACACTGCTGTGATCTAACTTGCCATTGTTGGGCTCCAGGGTAAATGCCTCCTCCAGATGAATGGGGATTATTGTTTTGGCCTATCTGCAGGTTCAGGAAATTACGGCCATGCTTGCAAGGCTCTTTGTGACCCAAAGGTATTTTGGTATCGGTAAGAGTCTGGATGCTGGAGCGCAATTCCCTGGTAAGGGAGGGAGTCCATGGGAAATCCTGCAGCCTGGTGATGAGATAGACAGGACCCTGTCTCGGGACAAGGCACTGACAGCAGTGGAGAGCCATCTACTCTGGGTTACTTGGGTGCCCTGTCTGCATTCATCCTCCTGGGATTGGAGGTAGGCAGAAATAGCAGGTGCACGGTGCCCCGTGCCGTAGAGCCATTGGAAATCAACCAGCGTGGGGCTGGAGAAGGAACAGAAATAGCCACAGCTCCACACAGGAATGCCCCTGGGGAGACGGCGCGAACGTTGCAGGCTTTGTCCTCTGACAGGTTGGCTGGGCGTGCGCTTCCTGTCATAGAAATCCCAGATTAGAAAGAGCCTTGGGCTGCCAGCAGCTGCTTCGGCTCAGCTCGCCTGGGAGCGCTGGGGATTGGGAGAGCAGTGCTGTTAATGAGCAGCTCGCGGCCTGGGGAGGAGGCTGGGAACACTTGCCCAAGGTCGCCGGTTTGGGTGCCTGGAGCGGCTGAATAAGACGGGGTGGAAGCACTGGTTGAAATGAGGCAGGCGGCCTGCTCCCATAGCAAGGGCAAGGCAGGGGCAACGTGGGGCTCTGCCTGTCGGTCCTACGACACACCATGCTCATGCGTGAGGCCGCCCCACGGCTCTGGTGGCATAAGGCTGAAGAAGCAGGGACACCGCACGGGGGAGGGAGGCCTGGCGCTGCCATAGCAAGAGGGGTGGGATGCCAAAAGCCCCTGAGAGCCAACAAAGGGATGGGACACCTCTCTTCTCTGTCCCCTGATCTACGCAGACAAGGGGAGGGAGACCTAAAATGGGGGCCGATCTCTAAAGCAAGCAGACGGTGCCCCTTCTCCCACCCTCCAGTGAAAGTCTTCCCTTCAAATCAGCCCCTGCTCACTCAACAAGAAGCAGGGATTTCTCAGGGCAAATGTTTATTCTTACCCTCCAACTTACCCCCCTGCAGCTTTTTACACGGGGTTCTTGAATGTGGAAACTGGAAAGAGCTGGTAAATAAAGAGGAAAGCGAATTGAACATAGAATTCCTTTAGCAGGGACAGGAGTCCGACAGGGAAACATGGGCACGATCAATTAACGTAAAGCACCTACTCTAAAGAAAAGCCAAGCTGGTTAGGGATGGGAAGGGCTGCGGTGGGGGCGGGTAGGGAAGGCAGGAGGTACACCCTGGGGCCCTTTAAAAAGACATAAAGGAGGAAACAGGAAGAAGAGTGAAGTTAAAGGGCTTTTTGGAACAGTCCTTGTTCCAGACAGCAGCCTGTTGCAGCCAAAGAAAAGGTCTCAGTCTTCTTTCCCTTGGTGGATAAGGGGTTGCAGCTCAAACGAAAAGATGCAGCTTGGTCTTGGGGCTGCTCTCCGGTCTCTTTGAGGAGCAGGCTCTAGCCAGGGCAGAAAAAGAGTGTGTTAGCCAATCACACTGCTGTCCACCAAAGTCCCACCGACAGCTTGCACGCCAGGCTGCTCTTCTGAGGGCCAGTCTCACATGGGCAATCCCACTGCCCGCTCAGGTTTCCTGGCTGGGTCTGCAGGAGGTCAGGGCAGTTGGTCATAATGGGGCCTTCAAGCCCTAGTAAGCTCTGACCCTGGTCTCTCTTCCCTTCCTACTTTCTTACTCAGGAGTGACCTGAGCAGCCCATTCCCAGGATCCCACCATTACAGGTGCAAGAACCTGCTCGTCTGCAGTGCCTGCCACCTGCACCAGCATGCCATGGGTATCTCTGCCCCCTGCTCATTTCAGATCCCAGCCTCCCCTGTGCCTCTTCATTTCTCTTCGGCAGCTGTTATTTCACTTTACAAGCTGCTGTTAGCAATGGTGCAAGTGCCAGAAGAAACAGGACTTGGCTGCTTCTGCCACCAGGCTTTGAAGGACTTGCCATAAAGAGGTGCAGAGCCCTGCCTACACTAGGGCTTATGCCAGTACAGCTGCACCAAGGCTGAAAAATGGGGTTGGTTTTGTGATTGCTGACAGGGCCTCAAGATTCAGCTCCCATGGGTGTGTCTGGCACTCACATCTGTGGTTTCTCGTGGCTTGGGCTTTTTAATGCACCACAGCAGGTGCATGGGGACTCCTGGGTTCTAACCCCACCGATGCAATGTGTTGCTAAAGACTGATTTTTTTCCAAGCACTGATCATGTGCCCGTGGGCCTCTCTGTCTCAGCTTACCATTTGCAAATGAGGATCATATTTATCTACTATTTATCTGTTTACAGAGCCCTCAGAGCATCTCGGCTGTGTACACCGTTAGGGTCAGTTCTCCCCACATACCCAGAGCATAATTCAGAGAGGGCAGGGAGGGGGAAGAGCACCAACCGACTGAAAGGAGGAAGGGGCAGAAGGAGCTCTCATCAATCTTAGCATTAAATGCTCTGAAGCAAACTACTGCTGCCTGCACATCACGCAGAGATCCAGCCACAAAGAGAGTTGAGTGGGGGGGGGAAGCCTCAAACTCATTGCTTGATTATTCAAAACAAAGCGGCTGCCTCCGCATTAGGGTTTTATAATGAAATTTGGAAGCTTCCCTTCCCCCACTGCAGCCACGGAAAAAAAGGCAAACAACTAGTCTTTGAACAAATCAAAACCCACTGAAAAATCACAGGGGCACCATGCACACGCACACCCAAACCCACACACACATAGCGGGCAGCGGGCTTGGCACATGCCCCATGGCACTTCTCCTTGCTAGGTTCCAGACATGTTTTTCCTGCATGTGGAAGAGAAGCAACAGCTTTTTCCTTCCTTTCAGCCACCCTGCTGGCTGGATGGCTGCCAGGTGATATAGAGCTGCCCTGGGCTCCTACCAGCTCTGAGCTCAGGTGAGGGGAATGATCATTAACCAGGATCCAGGGACAAAGTTGCCTTTACAGCCCCGAGTTTGGAAATTCATCGCACTTCCTCCCCGTGGTGATTGGTCGTTCCTTTAGCCAATGATGGTCTCATACTCTGAACTTTGTGCCAGCCATGGATTTCGAACCGTGTTATGAAATGTTCTGCTAACCCCTGCAACACAACTGTGACCGCTTCCACTGCACAGAAGGGAGAATGGAGCCAGGGGGCAGGTTATGACCAGGATTTCCAATCCTGGGGGCCTAAGTTAAGCTACTAAATCCAATGTTTAGCTACCTAGTTAAACGGCCTGATTTTCACACATGCTGTGTTCCAGTGGGACCGGCTGGATGTTCAGCACTGCGGAAAACCAGGCCGTGTATTTAGGTGCCTGCTTATGAGCTCCTTTTGTAAAGGTCTCAACTTAAGCGAGTTGCCCAAGGTCACACAGTGAATCAGTGGCAGAAGCAAGAATACAACCCAGCATTCATCCCTTCACATGCCCTGTGCTCACACTGTGCACCCGCGCCTTGTTGATTCTGAACACTCAAAAATCCCCATGCAAAGTGGGTGCTTTATGCCTGCGTCTAAGAGGTTGACAGACAACCCAGGGGCACAGAGGCAGGAATGAATGTGCAGAGCATGTTGCACATGCAGGGGGTAATTCAGTCACCCAGGGCCTTTCCTTTCCAGACTGACCTCAGCCTTCTTCAGGAGCTCCTGGTCCATTTGCTCTCAGGTCGACCTCGGCTCTTCCACAGTGATCAATGGTCTCCTCCACTCTGTCTCTGGGAAGCCTCGATTGGAGAAATAAGTGCATCAGAAAAGACCATCAGTGGAATTCACCCCACAAACCGTAGTGACAACAGGAGTAACACTACGTCCTCGTCTAGTGTCACCCACACAGCTAGTGGACGAAGCCTCACGAGCCCCAGCTCCTAGATGAGCAGAGCTGGGACCAAAAGCCAGGTGTCCTGGTTCCAGCACAGGCCACGTCTAGGAATGAAAAGAAATCTGAGAGCTGCTGAATAGAAGAGGCACAGAGTCAAATTCTCCTCCAGAGCCTAGGGGAGCCACGGTCCCTGCAGTGTTGAAGAGCTACCGTGGATTCATATGGATGTAACAGCAGAATTGGGCCCATTGCACATGTTTCCATTTTGCTGCATGATGGTGAGCTCCCAGATCCTATTCTAGGCCTTCAGGCCTTATAACCTTGCCAGGGAGCAGAAACAGAAACAATTCTGGGGTGAGAGCCATCCTTGTGCTAGTCAAGCTGTGCATCGTTCCCAGGCCCCAGCATCTTAGTACACACAGCATCTCTGTACTAAGACCGAGGTCAGGGCATCCCATAGCCAAGGGGCAGTCAGAGAATGTGCCTGATTCACAAGGACCTGCTGGGACCAAGGGGCAGTTTGCCAAAAAGGAATTTTTTAATTACTGGCTGGATGGCCTCTCAGTTCACCGAGGAGCCTGTCTAGGGATCTGCAGGAGTCTCGGCTCCTGTTCAACATAGTCCCCGGATTTTAGCTTTCTCGGCCCATGAGGTTTGCTTCTGCTTGGTTAGGAGGAAAATCTGGTAGATACTGAATTCATTTCCTCAGGGAAGGTGGTGGGGGCCCCAGTGTTTGGGACACTGCAAGTGACTGGAAGGAGTCATCCTGAATAGGCAGCTGTGGAGAAAGGAGGTGGGTATGGGTCAGCGACACAACCTTCTCCATCCCCAGTTGCTGAGAGTCTCTGGAGTGCTTCCAGAGGTGCTATGGAGGTCCTGGGCCTGAAGAAGGGTGCTTGTGCCTGAAAGCTTGCAATTCAAGAGGTTTTTTTTTTGCAAAAATCTAGTTGGTCTAATAAAAGCTATCACCCCTACCACGAGTTCCGATTCCAGAGGTGCAGACACATGGACTATGCAACCTGCATCGTCCGCACAATAGCTGCACGGAGAAGCCAAAACTCCTTCCTTCCCCCTTGCTCATACAATGGAGTAACAGAAAGTGTATTTCTTTTGTTCTAAGCCAGTGACAGCTTGACTGCTTTTCCAACTTCTGAAAAGCACAAGCTGGCTTCTGGACATGGGCAAGCAGTCTGCTTGATTAATGTTGAGCAAGCTCTAACAGCTATTACAGGAAAGTGGGCCGGATCTGTTGGTTCTTTACACGGAGCAGGTGAGCTTAGTGCCCACGAGAAGTGCCACACCGGAGCCTCGACACCGCACTGCAGCAAGAACCTCAGCAGAGCGACACCCACCCCACTGCTCAGACAGCCAAAGACGTCCATGGGGCCAGGGTGGGTGTTTGGACATCTGTGTAGGAATGCAGCACCCAGCTTGCTTTTACAGCTCATCCTATTGCTGGTTCTAAAAATGGCCCCTTCTTAAGAAATCTGTCAGCTCCCTGCAGATCTGCAAGTCAGGGCATGTGGCTTGCCTAATGCAAGTGACTATTTGCTGTTGTACAGCCACTCCAGCCAAAGGAGAGTAAGCTGCAGACTACTTTACCTCCTGCATCCTCCCTCTGCACTGCTGAGGCCACATCTGGAGTAGTGTCCAGTTTTGGGCCCCCCACTATAGAAAGGATGTGGGCAAGATGGAAAAAGTACAGCGGAGGGCAACAAAAATGGTTTGGAGGCTGGGGACTTACGAGGAGAGGCTGAGGGAATTGAGTTTATTTAGTTTGGAGAAGAGAAGACTGAGAGGGGATTTGATAGCAGTTTTCAGTTCCCTGCAGGGGGGTTGCAAAGAGGACGGAACTGGGCTGTTCTCAGTGGTGGCAGACGACAGAACTCAAGTTGGAGCACGAGAGGTTTAGGCTGGATATTAGGAAAAACTTTCCTACTAGGAGGGTGATGAAGCACTGGAACAGGTTACCTAGAGAGGTTGTGGACTCTCCATCCTTGGAGGGTTTTAAGGCCCAGCTTGACAAAGCCCTGGATGGAATGATCTAACTGGGGCCAGTCCTGCTTTGAGCAGGAGACTGGACCAGATGTGACCTCCTGAGGTCCCTCCCAACCCTCATTTTCTGTGATTCTATAGGCATGTCTACGTGTGCTTTTACATGCGCCTAAATGTAATGTGCATTTGCCTAATGCGCATTAAGATGATCTCGGCACATGTCTACACGCCCACACATAAAGCAGGTATCAAATTTATGTGCAAAGAGCTAAATGACATTAGCAAGCATGTAGATGCAGTAGCACACATCAATGTGGCGTGCGGACTAACTTGGGACTAAAGTTAGTCTCAGGTCAATGGGCACGCACTACGTTAATGCACATTAACACGTCTACACATTTGTTAATGCGATTTAGCTAGTCGCACATAAATTTGATACCTGCTCTGTGCAGGTATCAAATTTAGGCTTGAATAGCCTTAAATTGCCATTTTTAAGGTGCATTAAGGGTGTACACATCTAGATGTGTGTCTGTAATGTGCCTTAAATTGGGCTAATGTGCATTAAATGTGCACCTAATTCTTATCAGAGTCCACTTTGCAGGGCAGACTGGTGCTTTGACTGAAACTGCCCCCTAGAAGAGAATGCTAATAATACAACCTGGCCAGGCACAGGCTGTCTTGCTTATTGTTTGTATTGCAGTTGTGCTAGAAACTCCACTCAGGGACCAGGAACCCACGTGCTAGGTGCTGTACAAATAGAGCGAAAGAGAGATAGGTCCAGCCCTAATATGTGGATTCTTAGCCAACGTGGCACCTGTTGTCAGTGATTAGGATTTTTATAATAGCTCAGAGTAAAAGGGAAGACGTGGAGGAGCTTTCACTTAGTCACTTGTGTGCTGCTTAGAGAAACAATCAAGTCACGTTCTTTGTAGACATACATGGAAGATGGGGGCCTGGACACAGCAGTGCTCCCTACAGGGCAGAGCAGAGACTGCTCAGCTGTGTGCCAGGACCTCAGCTGCTCAATTAAAGATTCTCCTTTCACTCGAGCAACTGTGAAGCATGAAACCCAAAGTGAATTTTAGCTCTGTTGCCCAGACATTCCCAGCAGTAGCAGCACGCAGCCAGCCAGGCCATCACCACACAGTGTTTGGTACTATATTTATGCTGGCTTGTCCCCTGCAGTTTTAAACACTGGGATATTTGCATAATTTATTTCATAAGGCACATGAAGAAGAAATCTGTTTCCCCCTCTTTAAGCTGCCCTCTGCCATCCTTTACCACTCCTTGGTACTGACGGTATCCACTTGTATTTCATTTCAAGTCGAGCAGCCCCACCTAGTGATTAGAGTGAGTATAAGGCAGGGTAGATTGGCACTTTAGACTGAGTATAACCAGCCCGTGCCTTCCAATTCACCACGGTCGCTGGACCACAGCCAAAATCCACATCACGTGGCCCAACAGAATACTTAAATATAGTTCACATTGACCTGCCGAGCTGGGTGGAACGAGACAGATTTCGGAACGTGGCCAATCTGGGCTTGGGGAATGGAGGTGAATATTACACTTGCTTCCCCTCCAGAAGAGAGCAGGAGAGCTCACCTACAGATGACGGTAGTGCCAAAGGACTCTGCAGAGATGTGGTGAGGCACGGGTGTCACAAAACCAGAAGCGGTTAGATTTACAGGGGAGCCTTCTTCTTTTTTCCACTCCAGCGGGTTTTCCTGGAGGTAGAATTGCAGGGAAATGAAAGATGAGATGAGAAGAGAGAAAACAGACTCACATCAACATGCGCTCTATCCTCCAACTTGGGGAATGCCAAGAAACCATTTCCAGGCGCTGATCTTGAAAATCCATTGCCCTTCTGGATTGCGATTCCCTTCCAAAGAGCTCAAAAGGTCTTGGCAAGCTGTGCATGCTGTTATCCCATTACAAGTGGGGAAACTGAGGCATGGCCAAGGAGAATGGCTTGCTCAAAGTCACGTGGAATGGGTGACAAAAAGAAGTCAGGTCTAACCATGTTCTCACCGCTTGCTGGGCCTGTCTCCCGTATTCAAGCAGCTTCACATCCTGTAAGAGGGCGTGGCAGACTAGAGAGGGGAAATTAGTTGAAAACTTTTTTTAAATGGCTTCAGACATGTTTCCAGCATTGTTTTTAAAACAGTGCCCATCACTCCCTCTCTGCTGCCTGCAGCCAGCCAACGGATCATGTCCTGAAGGGGATAACTGGGTGCAACACCCGTTACAGTAGAAATGGGGCCTTGATTGTTAATAGTAAGCTGGGACATTGACTTTTAGAAGCCCTGAAAATGAAAGGTTTGGGTCACTTGTGGTGCTGTTAACCCCCCGGACAGCCCTCTAAAACGATGCTCAATCACTTCCTTGGCAGCTTCAGGGCTGTGGTATTAGCAGCCCTGAATCTGGCTAGCTCCCTGCATTTTCAAGGCTCTTCATAGCAGCCCTTTGACATTCATGGGGCAGTGAAACGGGGTACATTTAATTACAGAGTATAAAGTGGCCAGTACAATTAGCAGGCAGGGTGCTGTTAACTTACAAACCAGACAGTGGATCTGTGATATGCACAGCAATTAAGTGGTTATGCGCTATGATAGGGGAAGAACCAGAGTTGGTTACAATGGAAACGATAGGCAACAAGTTGGGGTTGGTGTTGGGTTATGCACTTAACCAGTATGCCCCTAAGTGCAGCACCCTGTGTAAAGCCCAGCAGAGTCTATTGCCAATCTCCAGTTCCAGTAGAAGAAGCTGCAGCGGTCTGCAGGGATGTCCCCAGAGCCCCACAGCTTCCAACAGGGTAAAAACCTTGGAATGGGAAGTTCTGGGCAGTGCTTTAACCAGGATGAGTGACAGAAGCCCACACCATGCTACTGACAGTCTCTTTTCTCACGAGAGATGTGATTAATCCAGTTTGTGACCTACAAGCGCCTTGGAGGTTTTCAAAAAGCGGGTGGGTAAGCACTGGTTAAGGACGATTTAGGAGCAGCATTGCGCATTCATGGAGGGAGCCAGACCAGATGACCCTTGAGGTCTCTTCCAGCTCCACAATTCATGTGCAATCGTGTATCACGTGTAACCCACCTTGGGAACAGGAAGCTTCCACTGCTGCTTGTACAAGCTGATGAGCTTGTTCCAGGGAGACAGCTCTTCCTTGGGAGATTCTGCATGAAGGTCCTCTGTTGAAAAAGATCCCAAATTAAGAAACAAATCCTTTAAAGGCCATCTCCTACATCCTTTATGCTGCCCTATATGGAATGATAACATGCGCCTCATGTACAGCATGTGAGCAAGTTCCTGCCCCCCTGGGCCAAGCCCTAGCCCTCCTCTGCTGGTGCACCTCCAGGGGAGTGAATGGAGTTACCCCAGCAGACAATTTCCCCTTGTGTATTTAAACAGATGACAGCGTGTTAAATTACCTAGCAGGACAATAGCATTAAAGGTGTTTGTGTCTCAGGGTGATACGGGTTTATTATATCAGCCAGTCTTTATGCAGATACGTAGTCAGAAGCCTCTCCCAACAGCAGAGTACATGACCCTCACCTTTGAGCAGATGCTCTCTCTCGTCCTCAGCACTGAAGTCCTCCATGGGTGTTGGCAGGTCTCCTGCAGCTGATGCAAGCCCTTCGGTGTCGGCCAGCAGAACCTGGGAGACCCTGGCCCTGACCCCAAAGCACAGTTATGCATGGTAGGATGTCAATACGTGGGCTGGAACAGAGGGACGCGCATCTCTGTGGCCTCCAAACAAAGGAACAAACTCTCTAGCCAACTCAGAGTAGACACTACAGCTGATACCGATTGTCCTCATTGTTGGCAACCTTGACCTACAGAGGTCATGGTCGGAAAGGACACACAGTGCAGCTCTCTCATAGACACTAGGGTGTGTACAAAGGAACACCTGGGTTTTGGTAGAGTTACAGCAGACTTACTGGTGTGAACTGGAAGCAGAATCTGGCCCTTTTGCTTAGAGCACTGGTCCTGGTGAAGATCAGTATGTTTTTGTAGTCTGGTTGGCCAGGGCTGGATGTGAAAGTCTATGGCAGTTGGTGAGAGGGACTGACTTTACAGAAATTCATGGGCTCATATCAGTGTGACCAAGCGCTAAATGAAATGGCCTGTTATCTTTCATAATGCTCAACCTTGCTGCTCTTTGGGGGGAAAAAAACAACTGTCCAATGTCTCACTGGTTTCTAGTTGCCCACCTGGCCTCACACAATTATTTCCTATTCACCATCACACATCTCAGGACCCTCCTTACCAGCCCAAGGCCCAGCGCTGATCTCACTGAAATAAAGAGAGGTTGGCTGATGATTGCTGTGAGACCTGAAGCTGGTCCAGGTCTAACAATCAACTTACTTTCTCAAAGATCCTGTGTCCCCAGAAGCTTCTTCCATGAACTTCACTGCCTGGCCAGAGGTTTTGCCATCTAGCTCCTGTGCCATTCTGCCTTCCCTACTCAGAGGGATGTTAGCAAAGCCTGGAGTGTCTCCCATCTCCATGCCCCTGGTTAGAGAGGTGCCTCCAAGACTGATTTCCTTCAGTTCTTCCTTGATCTCCTCCACAAACTCCTCCAGTGTGTTTTCCTGAGGTTCATCAGCCAGGGGGTTGCCTGTTAGCTGTTTGCCTGACGGCAGGATGGGCTCAGACTCAGCTGCTGCTGGATCTGCTGGGTTGTCTGCATCTTGGTCCTTGATGTTTCCCATTGTTTTCACCCTAGCACTGGTTCCTTGGCCTTCCCGTGTGCTCTTCCTGAGCCCAAGGAGATTCCTGAGGAGCTGGAGCAGCGAGGGCCTGCTGAAAAGAGGGCGAACTGTCAGAGGATCCACCTCTGCCAGGGTTAGCAGGGCGCTGGGGCCTGGAGGGGACCTGGGCCTGGGCTGAGGCTTCTCAGCAGCTTAGTACTGATGGTTCAAACTAAGCCTCTTCCAACAGGTCAGAACTTGCCAGGACAAGGGGCAGAGAAGTGATGGCAGCTGTGTACGCCGTCAGCTCTGTCACACACACAGACCTACTTTTAGGTCCTTTCTCCCCTCTCCTTTCATTTGACGTTGGCTGTGTTGATGTAACTCTGCTGCTGTTACCTGTGCTGTGTGTGACAGCCTTTGGCAAGAGCGCTGCATTTAGCTCATCACTTCTGACCTCCTGTGGCAGGGGCAGGAAGGGAAAGGAGAGTGAAGAAGTGCAGAGAAAAGGGAGACCTGGTGCGTGGAACAAATAAAGGAAGCTAAGATGTGACGTTTCCTGCTGCTGTGGGGTTACAGAAAACTTCTCTGGAAAGCAGCAGTGCTGTTTACCACTGGGACATCTTTCATTTGTCACAATACTAATAATAAACCACCTAATTTTGATAGAGTTTACAGTTCCATTGGTGTCCCGGTCTACCATAAAAAACTTGGCTGGTACAGCCATGTCAGCTAGGGACGTTATTTTCCTACAATTTTTCTACAGTAGCCAGAATGCCAGTGGTTAAACTGGCATGTATGTGCTTTTCCTGCTAGGGTTTATTTCCCTCAGGGAACCATTATGAGCTATGCTGGTGAAAGCACTTCCTGCTGGAAAAAGCGGTGCGTATTCTAGTAGGATTGGTAGCAGAGAAAGCATTTCCTAATGTAGGGCTGTCCTTAGTTCTCAGCTCATGTGCGGGCTGTTGTTTTGGAGGACTATTTTCCAGAGGTCAAAGATCCCACCTGCACTGTAGCAGTCAGTGGATCGTCTTCTCTGCAATCCATGTTGTCCTCTCTGTCAATGCTGAATGGGTGCAAATAGGACCACAGGGGTCTGGGTGCCTTCTGCACCCTTCCTGCACTGAGGCGAGTGACTGCTCGGGGTCAGGGCACTGGAGCGTCAAATCCAGTGCGCTTGCGATCTCAGTACTGCACCATGCTGACATGGCTATGACCAAGTTCAATGAAAGAGAGACCAGACAGGACTGTCACATGTTCCTGAACAGTGGAGTTGGGTCGTAGCACCGTTCCTTCCCCGTCTGCACTGGACATGCCTCCGCCGTGTCCAGGGAGAACTGCACTGTTCTTGCAAACCCCTCAGGTTGTTGGTGCATTACAGTTGGGGCCTAAATAACCTAATGACCTCCCAACTTCCTGATGGCCAATACCACTTCCTGGCCTCTGAATTACTTCTCTCACTGTCAGATCTAGTATTTTCAAACCCATTTCCTGGCATCTTTGATGACTCCTTTCTTCCCCCTCTCGGTCATTCACAGATGCATGTACCCGTCCCCACCACAGCCAGTCACAGATCCATCCCATCACTAGAGTCAAAAGACTCCCCAGACCCAATCAGTGCCCGTCTGGGCAGCATTTGCTGTTGGTTGTTGTGTGGACCTAGCTAATCATTTTACAGCGGTAGCTCCTCTTCTGTGTTCCCAGCACATCTAAGGCAACCATAAATACCGTCCATTAAACCACCACTTTCCCAAGGCAACAATTGCTACAGAGATGTTACACAGCTGCTCATTAGTGGGCTTCAAGATTGTGAAGGTGAAGAGAGGTATCCACAAGTATGGAACAGGGCCCTGCCCTGTTACTAGGGGCTCGGGGGAGTCTGAACAGCCCCACACCCCAGAAGCACCTCTGCATACCCACCCCAGACCTGGGAGGCTGGGGAACCAGGTCCTGGGACGTAGTGAGTCCCGCAGCAAGGGAGCTGACACTGGTGTGGGGAGTGAGAGAGGGTTAGCCACCTAAGCCCAGATGGGAAGGATAAAAGACACTGAAAGCAGGCCCAAGGGGCTGCATCTGGCCAAGGAACAGACTGCCTGGAGCCACCATGGGTTAAACAGCCACTAGGAGAAGCAGGAGCAGGGCTTTTCTCTCTCTGTTTGTTTGCTTGATCATTTGCTTTCTTGTGCAAGCCTGCAGGCTCTGCAAAGCCTCTGAAAGATAAGATGCAACCAGGAGGTGAAGCCTGGAAGAGCCACTGGAAGATGGCTAAGGTCTCACTTATTTGTTTAATTTGTTTGTTTTGCATCGCTACCAAGCCTGGGTGGCTTCCCAGTATTATCTGCTAGGGGTGTGCGAAGCTTCGGGTGGCGATGTGATTTGGCTCAATTCGGTGGTCGAATCTCTGAATCCGAATTGAATCGGGACCAATTTAAAGGTCCGAATTGATTCAAAGCTCTCCGAATCTTCGAAAAAGATTCGGAGAGCTTTGATGATTCGGGCAGTCCCGGGAGGCTGCAGCAGGGAGCTGCAGCTGACTAGGAGCGGGTAAGTACTAGGGGCGGGGAGAGGGGACCATAGGGGCACCCCTGCCCGCCCTAGCTCGCTGCTTTAAAAAAAAGCCCCCGTTCTAATACTAGCTGCTTTGCACAGGCCTATTTATCTATTAGCCTGACTGTAGCAGAGGCAAGGGCCGTGAACAGCGGGTCCTTAGCCAGCAGCAAAAGTAAAACTGGTCGGCTCAACTAGTGTGACCAAACATACCCTGCTGTGATCTGCCCAGACTCTACCCGTAGCAGCCCACAAAGTATTCACAATACTTCATATGTGGTCTAAGAATGACACTCCTGCCAAAAGAAATGCAAAAACCTAGAACTCTTGGTTCAGAAATGATACCTCTTATTAGACCAACTGAGAAACTGCAAAAAAAAGTCCTAGATTTTTGCATTTCTTTTTGTCTCAGACCAACACAGCTATCTAATACATCCCTGAAACATTGCTACAAAAGCACCTGTATTGTTGGTGGCTAATGAGGTGAGAGAGCTGCTAAACTGGCCTTCCCCAGTGCAAAAGGACACCAAGTATCTGCAAGGAACACAGCTGTAAGGCTGCATCTGCACTGATCTACCTTGGACTTGCTGCTATAATAATAGCAAGAGTAGGAGAGCTAGCACGGCCGCTTGGAGCAGGTCCAGACAGTGCACTGAGCCAAACATCAGCACATTGCCAGAGCAGCTCTAGCAAGAATGCAGCAGTGGGAAGTTTTGAGCAGGCGGCATTCAGGCCTAAAGGATCTCTGCATATCGATGTGCAAACCACATGTTAATGTAGCGTGAAGCTGACTTGCTCCAGCCTCAAACCTCTGTAAGCCAAGAAATGCAGAGTACAGGCAACTGCCAGCCTTGCAAGGTGCATGCCATGCCCTTTGCAACCTCGTGGCAATGAAACACCTCAGGCCAGTTTTAGTGCTCTGCAATCTTTCATTCACCCCACTGATTCCCGCCCCCCCGGGGTGTCCCTTGGGCCTGACCTCCTCCATCCATCAGGAGCCGGAGGATCAGCAGCATCAGGAGCAGGAGCTGCCCCTTCATCCCCTGCAAGGTGATTCTCCTCCTCGCTCCTGCTGCCATCGATGCCACCGCTGCTCTCGGAGAGGTCTGTCATGGGCCAGTCGGAGGAGTCTCCCATCTCCATGCCACTGGTGTCTGGCATCGAAGGGGACTGGTCGCCCCTGCTTGACGGGGTCCCCCCGAGACTGATTTCCTTCAGCTCCTTGACGATCTCCTCCAGCCTCTCTCCCCGAGACTCCTTGGCCAGGGGGTCGCCCTTTAGCTTGTTGCCCGCCGGCAGGATGGTCTCGAACTCGGTGGTGGAGGAAATTGCTGGGTTGCTCGTGTCTTCTTGGTCCCTGATGTTTCCCACTTCTTCCATCTCGGCACCAGTCTCTTGGCTCTTCCGTGCACCCTTCCTGAGCCCAAAGAGGTTTCTGAAGAACTGGAGCAGCGAGGGCCGGCTGGAAGGAGGGGGAACAGTCAGAGGGTCCATCTCTGTCGGCTGCATGGGGCACGGGTCCCCTCCGGGCACTGGGCAGAGGCTGCTCAACCGCCTGGAACTTGGGAGGGTTTCGAACGGAGCCTCCAACGGCTCAGAACTGCCCCAGGTCCTGGGGCGAAGCGGGTCTGGGGACGGGGAGGCAGGGGTTACTTGGCTGCCAATCAGGATGAGGTGGGGAGGGGATTAACAAGGATATATAAGGGATGCGGCTTGTCTACATGGCTACCGCCTTGCTAGCTCTTTGCAGCAGCAGGGCTGTATTTTCTCAGTCCTTTGTACAGCACCGAGCACAAACCGGCCTCCGATACGGATCATTCGCATGGTATTGTTCAAAAGTTCATGTCCTCGCAGTGTCTGAGCACCTGCCACGTCAAATCAACAACAGCAAGCCTCTTATGGACTCTGTTAGGTCTCTAGCGCTGCTCCCTCGAGGGTAAATGGGTGCGTCTGCACGTGGTTTTATGCATGCCTAAACTTAACACACATTTGCCTAATGCACATTAAGGTGGTTTAGGCACGCATCTATGTGTGCACGTGCTAAGGTGCATTAATGCTGTGTATGTCGACTGGCTCGGGTTCTAACTTGAGTCCCAAGTCAGTCCACTCGCTGCATTAATGAGCCTTAGCGCGTGCATGCGTAGACGCGCGCTTAAATCGCCTTAATATGCACGTTAATGTGGTGCGCAGACTGACTTGCGACTAGACCTTAGTCCCAAGTCAATCGACACACAGCATTCATGTTCCTTGGCAAACCTGCACGTGTTGAGGCGCTTTAGCTATTTGCACCTAAATCTGATACCTGCTTTTGCAGTTACCAAATCTAGACGCAAATAGCGTAAAATCACCATTTTTAAGGCACATTAATGGCATGCACATGTAGACCTGCACCCTTAATGCGCCTTAAAAATGGTTAAAGTGTCTTGTGCCCAATGTATGCTTAGGGCAGGGTCGGTGGGGTTTATTTTTACATGTTTTAATTAGTTGTTTTTTTTCTTCTCACCCGTTGTGGGTGGGATTTCCAGAAGAGCTCGAGACCATTTGGGAACTAAAAATACCAGGGGTGGATGTCACAAGGGAGCTGCTGGGTCTGTTTGAACTCCTTCCACCCCACCCCACTGTGGGTGCTGAGCGCTTGGAAACATAATCCAGAGCCCTTTAAAAAAGTTTCACCCGAGGTCACTGATCTCTATAGTTTTTGACCCTGTTTATTTAACTTTGGTTACTTGGTTGTTGATAGGAAGGAGGTGGGGAGGGGATTAACAAGGAAACTGGCCATCTTAAACATACCTCTTTTATATCACAATCCTGTAGCAGCCTTTCTGGGGGCAAATGCAAATAGACCATTTTCTTTTAACTACTGCGCTTTATTTTGGCAAATCAAATCTTGGTGGATGCAAAGTTTCGCTACCATAGTGTTTGTTTTCTCCCCCCCCCACCATCTTCACACTTTCTAAGAGGAAATAGCTGAGTTCCTCTACCCAAGCTTCTCGCCATATTAGGCATGGAAGACTTGACTCGTAGGGTGAAGTAGTCCAACTGAGATGCTGCACTGAGATATAATGAATCCACATGAATGCAAAGCTAGAGTTAAATCTAACCTCTTTAAAACAGGTAGGGAGTTGAGCTCACAGGACAAACTTTAGAAAATCGGGATTTTTCTCTGGGTTGACAAGTAGATTTTTTTTTTTTACTCCCCCGTTTCTTGATGGGCTGCTCAGCATCAGAGCACAAATCGGATGCGCTGCAGCTAGAACAGGGCCCAATAGGGCCAGGCTGTGCATGGACTGGAGTTTCATCAATACAGCTTTAATGAATAGTCACAAGGGTTGGAGTTTCTGGAGGTGGATAACTCTGCCTGTTACAGCTCTTAGTATCGAGACTCTTTTACCTGACATCCAGATTTCAACTCATCCTTCCTAGCAATGTTTCCCTCTTCCCAGCCCTGCCTGCACCCTTCAGGTAATTATTTCATAGATTTCATTAGAAAGAATAGGGCTTTGGTGTCCACAAGGTAGACCATTTTCCTTTCCTATTATCACATGTATTGCATCTGCCCTTAAATGTCTTGACTCTGACCTGGGTCCTGTGGTGCTTGGTGCTGTACAAACTCACAGTGTTTCTTCTCCCCCACCCCGCCCAAACACGCTTTTGAGTCTAGAAACGATGCTATTTCCCCACCATCTCTCCTTCCACCACTTCCTGCAAGATTTTAAGCCTCTGTTTTCCTCACCTCTCTGGCCCTACACCCTCTGCTGCCCCAGCTTTCTGCTCCTGCAGTCTCACCCTCCTCCCCACTCACAGCTGGGCTCACTCGGTCTCTGGTTCTGCCCCTTCCTTGAGTAGCCTATATTCTTTAAACTTTCTTTTCCTCCTTTGGCTTGCACACCCCTGGAGAGAGTTTGCTCCAGGTAAGCTGTGCAGCATTGGTACCAGCTCTTTCCTTTCACTTATTCCTTGACACTGCAGTGATCAGAGTTCCAGCGATGTAACAACTATAGCCCACGACCCATGCCAGGCTGCCCACCTCAGGCTTTCTATCCCACTTCCTCTGACTCCCACTGACTGGTTTCACACTAGCTCGGGGGCCCCTGATGCACATTACATTTCCTATACAATTAACTGGTTAATGGTGCAGTACATTTTATACCAGCCACAGGCTGCAAAGTACTGATCACCTGATTAAAAATGATTCTCCAGCTATAAAAAGAGCCAACTTAGCTATTAAGTTAGTGCTTGAGAATGTGGAACCACTCTAGCGCTGGTTTCTATGCAGCTTCCTTTTGACTGTGTAGCAGGGCCCTCAGACAGGTGTGTCTCAGCTGCCATGCAGACCAATGGGTCTCAGCCTTCTCAGTATGGGCAACTCTCATGAGTTTTGGCATTGTTCTTAAAGTCTACGCTTTTTGAATGTGAAAAACTTAGCTCTTTCTTATATATATGTATATAAATATATATTAAAAAAAACCTAAGTTTTTCACATTCCCAAAGTGTAGATTTTAACAACGCCAAAAATCATGAGAGTTGCCAATACTGCCTTTTTAAACTCAAAGCACCACTCAGAAAATGCCAGCTCTTTTCACATATTCCTTGGCTACAGGAAAATAACA